TTTGGACTTAGGCAATTCTCTTGCCCCAGCCTCCCAAGTAGCTGGGACTACAGGTGCCCGCCACAATGCCCAGCTGTTTTTTGTTGTAGTTCGGCTGGGGCTGGGTTTGAACCCACCACCCACCACCCTGGCACCCTACTCACCGAACCATAGGGGCCGCCCAACCAGCTTATTTATTTATTTTATTTATTTATTTATTTTTGCAATGGAGTCTTAAGCTGTTGTTCTGGGTAGAGTGCCATGGCATCACACTACAGGTGCCCACCACAACGCCCCACTATTTTTCAGTTGTAGTTGTCATTGTTTTTGTTGTTGTTTTGGTGGCCTGGGCTGGATTCGAACCCGCCAGCTTTAGTATATGTGGCTGGCGCCCTAGCCTCTTGAGCTACAGGCGCCACCGCAGACACAGTCTGACATTGTTGCCCTCAGTAGAGTGCCATGGCATAGCTCACGGGCTCACAGCAATCCCAGTCTTTTCAGGCTAAAGGGATTCTCCTGCCTCAGCACCCCAAGTAGCTGGGACTACAGGTGCTTGCTACCACAACTGGCTATTTTTCTATTTTTAGTAGAGATAGGTCTTTGCTCTTGCTCAGGCTGGTCTCAAACTCCTGAGCTCAAATGATCTACCTTGGCCTCCCAGACTGTTAGGATTACAGGCATGAGCCACCACACTTGGCCAGAACAGCCATATTTTCTATCTGCATTTCATCTGTCGCAGCAAGTTGATTTGATTGAAATGTATGAAGGAAACTTGAAGTCACATACATATATTTTGAAAAGAGGGGAGTATTCTAATAATAGCTTTTTCAGATAATTATTTTTGTCTTTAATTCTATCACTGGACTTTATGTTCTGTTTCCTCCCCCAGATCTAAACTTCACAAACACTTACTAGAACTACAATTTTATTGAGCTTTTTTCCCCCCCCTGAATGATCGACAAAGAAGTATTGTCTTATGCTTCTGCTTGTCATTATTTTCCAGCTTTTTGAGACCATCGGAAGATTCCGGAGAGTCTCTCTGACCTTAGAACCCTGGCTGACTCTGTTTCCTTCCCCAAGCTCATGGCTATTGAAGGTCGTTGGACTTGAGGTGTCCAGGATCTCCTGACCTGCTCTGTCAGCGTGGATGCTTTCCTTGGTCTTTGCAGAACCTCACATTGCTGAGCAGGGGTGCCCCAGGAAGCAAAAGGAAGCCTGACACCCTTTTCCTATTCAGAGTTCAGGGAGGTCATCTACACCAGAAATAAACAGGTCAGCCCTCGGCCAAGGTCACCCACCAGGGTAACCAAAAGGTTCAGCCTCCAGTTACAGCCCAACATGGCAGAGGATTCTTATTGTGAGATACACCTGGAACCAGCCTGGCTGTTCTGTGAAGATGACCAAGTCACACTTTGTAGCACCTGCTTCCAGAGCCCAGAACACAAGCATCACGTGGTACGTGGGGTACAAGAAGCTGCCGAGAGTTACAGGGTAAGCTTTATGCCGATCTCAAGTCCCTCTGGTGGAGGATTGATTGATTGATTGATTGATTGCATGGATATTCTGATTCTCCAAAACCATTTCCTTAGTTCATGTCTATTAAAGAATACCAGACGTGTTTTTTATTTATTTATTATTTAGTTTTGAGACTGAGCCCTGGGTAGAGTGCCATGGTGTCATAGCTCACAGCAACCTCAAACTCTTGGGCTCAAGGGATCATCCTACCTCGGCCTCCAGAGTGCTGTGATCACAGGCAGGAGCCACCCCACCTGGCCCAAGTTTTGTATTTAATTAGGTCTTCAACTTTAATGCTAAGAAAGCATTGTCAGAGCTATTGGCCTTTTGGTTGTCTAAGGTTCGGCTTCCGATTATTCTAAAACAATTAACTTACCTGGAATTTTGTGTTCTTTTTTTTTTTTTTTTCCCTCTACAGAAGTTATTCCAAGAAATATTGCACACCTTGAGGGAGAAAGTGGAAGTAGCTAAAAGCATACTGGGTGAGGAGCAAGAAAGAATGGTGATGATTCAGGTCAGCACTTATCTTAATTCTTAGGGGGAAATTAACGAGCCTGTTACACAGCAAATACTGTGTTGTAAACAAAGTCAAAAGACAAATGACGAAGCAGGAGAAAAATCTGAACTCCGTAAGAAGGAAAGGTGCTAATATCTTAGCCCATAAAAAGTTCTTTAAATCAATAAGAAAAAGACTAGAAACTTAATTTAAAAAAGGACCAAAGAAACAAGTTTGTAGAATCCTAGTCCACCCTTCAAAGCCATTTTGGAACTCTTTTTCTGAAATGGCCATCAGAACTGTCGTTGTACAAAGTAGAACAAATAAGTTTGAGGACTCATCCTAGAAAAAGTACTTTGAAGGGTGGACCGGGCGCTGGCGCTGGGGCACAGCTCCCCAGCAGGAGAACTTTGCAGGTGGCCTTCGTGATCTCCGGCAGCAGGCGTGTCTCACTTTGTCTGGGATGAGTTCCTGTAGGCCTCATACATTCCAGTGGAAGTAAACAAAATAAGTTCCTTGTAAAGTATGTTACGTGTGAGTGCTATGAAACTGCAAAAGAAAGTGGCAGTTACACTTTTAAATAAAGTGGTCAGGACCTTGCTATTCAGAAATTGGCATGTGAAGAGACTCAAAGAGGCAGGGATAGATCCTTGTGGTCATCACAGGGGCTGGGGCACCCGGCTGGGAGCACAGAGGACATTAGAGTATGGCTGGTGTGATCAGATGACAAAGGGGCCTGGTCCTTTGGGTCAATGCCACAGGGACCCTGCTGGGAGGTCAGTGGTGGAAGAGCCAGGTGACTTAACTTCAGTTTTCACAAGACACTCTGGCTGCTGAATGAAAACAAACCGTAGGGGAAGGCAGCAGCTGACTTGGGGACTCTTGGAAGGGGATGGGGCGAGCTGGGGACACAGGTAGCAGAGAGGGAGTGAGGCGTGGTCACCTCTTGATTCCACTGAGTCTCTTGAGATTGTCTCTAAGATGACAATCCCCAAATATATATATAACTCGCACTGCCAGACTTTCATGTCCAGTTCCCCACTTAGCATCTCTCCTTGGATGTCTGACTGAATCGAATTCGTTACATGCCAAACCTAGCGGTGATGTGCTCCCCACCTCTGGAATCCAGCCCTTCCTTTGTTTCCCCCTCTCCGTTTTGGCAATTCCAGCCTTCTGGTTGCTTAGTCTAAAACATTTGGTGGCTTCCATCCTCGCCTCCTTTTGCCCCCACACCTCGTATCCCAAGGATCCCAAATCCCACTTGTCCTATTCTAATGTTCTGGTTGTTGTCTATTTTTTTTTTCTTTTTTGAGACAGAGTCTCACTTTGTCACCCTTGGCAGAATAACATGGCAGCATAGCTCACAGCAACCTCAAACTCCTAAGCTCGAGTGATCCTCTTGCCTCGGCCTCAGCCTGAGTAGCTGGAACTACAGGTGCCCATCACAATGCCTGGCTAGTTTTTCTATTTTTAGTAGAGACGGGGGTTCAGGCAATCCACCTGCCTCAGCCTCCCAGCCTCCTAGCCTCCTAGACTTACGGGCATCATGCCCAGCTATGCTTCCTAGCTTTTCTAAGTCAATTGACCTTCCTGATCTATTAACAGTCCTCATCTGCATCTCATGTTCTAAGAGTGTGGCTGATCTTGACTCAAAGTCCATTGCTCTTTGGATTTCTGCCTCTGATGTGTTCCCCTTATCTATCTTTTTGTTGTTGTTGTTTGTTTGTTTTTGAGACAGAGTCCCTTGGTAGAGGGCTGTGGAGTCACAGTTCACAGCAACCTCCAACTCTTGGGCTTAAGTGATTCTCTTGCCTCAGCCTCCCAAGTAGCTGGGACTACAGGCACCCGCCATAATGCCTGGCTGTTTTTTTTTTTTTTTTTTTTTTTTTTTTGTAGTTGTCATTATTATTTAGGAGGCCTGGGTCAGGTTCGAACCCCCAGTGTATGTGGCCAGTGCCCTAACCATTGAGCCATGGTCGCCGAGCCCCCTTATCTTTCTATTGAGCTTGAAGATGGAAAGGGTACATTGTAATCAACATAAGATAGGTGTAAGGCCGAGCAAGGTGAGTACAGTGTATGTTATCTCTTTGTCCTGTCATGTTTAACCTGGAGTCTATCCCATCTGTGTCTATGAGGAAGGAAGAGGAGCAGAATTTTAAAGAGATGATTGAGTCTGAATATAGGACCAGGCTCCGGTTGTTGAGTGAGGAGGACGAGGTGAGCCTGCTGAGAGCACCAGGATGCAGGCCGGCTTTAAGCTCGGGAGAAGCCAGTCTGAATCAATTCTTCGAAGCTGCAGCAGAGCCAGTGGAGAAGCCCCAGGAAACCCTGCAGGTGGGATATTGAAAACAACACCCTTTTATTGAGAAATGAGAAATAGAATACCAGAATGTTATTTCCGTTCCAAACTAAGGCATCCAGTGACAGCCGCAGGTGTAGTAAATGAATGTATATGTCCACCCACAATTCTGTTTCTATGAATTCATCCTTAACATACATATAAAAGAAACAAGGATAAGGTAAAATATACCTATAAGTATATTTCTATATACAGAGGGTATCCAAAAAATGTATATGGACATTTTAAGAAAGGAAAAACTGTATTAAAATTATAATGCTCAATATATACCAATAATGTTTGTCATCTTTTTTTTTTTTTTTTTTGTAAAACAGGGTCTCCCTTTGTTGCCCTAGGTAGACTGTTGTGGTGTCGTAGCTCACAGCAACCTCAAACTCTTGGGCTCAAGTGATCCTCTTGCCTCAGCCTCGAGACTAGCTGGGACTATAGGCACCTGCCACCCCAGGCTATTTTTAGAAGCAGGGTTTTACATTGGTTTGGGCTGGTCTCGAAACCCAGCTAGTTTTTCTGTTTTTATTAGAGATGGGATCTGGCTTTACTCATGCTGATCTTAAAATCCTGAGCTCAAGGGATCCACCTGCCTCAGTCTCCCAGAGTGCTGAGATTACAGGTGTGAGCCACCATGCCCAGACATTTCTCCCTTTATGAAAACAAGTATCCTTTTTTTTTTTGCTATTGTCTATATATCACTACACTATACTGCAGATACATTTACACATATATGGGCAAGGTAACACTATAAAACTTAGTTTCGGTATAAGGCCATGGATTAGAATTAACCTTGGAAGGCAGGTGGATGGAGTTCCTATGTGAGTTCTGGTGTTATCTAGCTCCTATGTGGCTTTGGTCCTGTTGATTTATTTCTAACTCAGTTTCTTTAGGTATAAAAGGGAGATGCCAATGGCTTCCCATTCGTAACACTGTTGTGATGTTCCAGAGAGATGTCTATGTAAAGCTCACGGTGTCTTGTACCTATTAAGCAATCGATAAGTAGTAGGTATCATTGTTTCTATTATAACACTTATAGATAGCAAGAGATTAGAAATGCCCATATCTGCCAGATTTGGTGGCTCAAGTCTATAATCTCAGCAATCTAGGAGGCTGAGGCAGGAGGATCCCTTGAGCTGGGGAGTTGGAGACCAGCTATAGCAAGAGTGAGACCTTGGCTATACTAAAAATAGAAAAACCAGCCAAGCATCATGGTGGGCACCTGTAGTCTCAGTTACTTGGGAGGCTGATGCAGGAGAGTCCCTTGAGCCCAGGAGTTGGACATTTCTGTGAGTTAGGCTGAGGCCAGGATACTCTGGCCTCGGCAACAGAATGAGACTATCCTATATCTGTCAACATAAAATTCAGAAAGTAAATGGTACTACATTCATAACATGGAACACTTGTCAGCACATTAAAAGGATATCATGGCTTGGGCAGTGCCTGTGGCTCAAAGGAGTAGGGCACCAGCCCCATATACCGAAGGTGGTGGGTTCAAACCCAGCCCCGGCCAAAAAAAAAGGATATCATGGCTCTGTTCTTGGATGTAGAACACTCTCCAAGAAAAAAGCAAATTGTCACTAATAATAGCAATAGAGTATAATATGCCATCATTTATGGTTATTTTTCCTAAATAATGTAATCTTGTCCTTATGTGACTATATTTGGAAGGATAAATACAGAAATTATTCATTCCCCCTTATTAATTGATAGAATTCATTTTTAATGAAGTTGTAATGAATTTGATGTCTTTTTTTTTGCAGTTTTTTTTTTTGGGGGGGGGCCAGGGCTAGGTTTGAACCCGCCACCTCTGGCATATGGGGCTGGCTCCTTTTGAGCCACAGGCACCACCTGAATTTTACCTCATTTTAATGTAATGAAAAGAAAGAAAACTTTCTGAACAAGATACCTCAGCAAAAAAACATGATGCACATTAGAGGCACGTTGCCTGTCTGAGCAAGCAGGCTACCCTCCCGCACGTCCCCGTCAACTTGACTGTGTGTGGCAGGAATAACAGGGTCCAGCTTCTGTTGAGCGGTGTCCTACTCACAACAGGAGGATGTCATGGCCTTACCTGATTACATCTGCTTATGGGGTGGCATCTCAAGACATGGTTGAATTGGGGAATAAGAGAAGTTCCTAGATACCGAATGAATAGTAATAAAGAGTTTCTTCTATAGAGATTGAGACATTTAGGGAGAGAGAACAGGAATAAACTGAAGGAGAGTGAAATCCGAGTTTCTGAGCAGATCTGCAGCCTCCGAAGTCTCACCGCAGAGCTCGAGGAGAAGTGTAGGGGACCAGCCTTACTGATGCTCAAGGTAAGACTCGGGGTCGGGGAGGAAGAAACCTCTATGACCCTCTCCAATAAAGGAGAGGTGGGTGGGCACTCACTGGGGTCCTGCCAGGACACTGTCCAAAGCCAAGCCGCTAGCTCAGTTCCATTGCAAATGGAACTGAGATGTGTATCAGTAAGGTGAGTAATTGGTCAGGTATAAGACACCCATACAATGGATCTTCTGTGACACTAAAATAGGAACAGTTCTATTGGCAACTAAAATAGCATTTTCCAGATAGCTTATTAAGAGCAAAAAGACACAGCTACTTTTTGCTTCCCTTTCAGGGAGTAAGTATGGCCGTATATAGGTTTGGGCTTGTTGCCATTCACAGACTTGGGCAAAAGGTTGCTGAGAGTCAAATGCATCCTATTCCATGGTGACCTTTGGAAACAAGGGTAAGACTTATTAGTATAGTATGTGCCGTGGTCTAAATGTTTGTCCCCTTCTAAAATATACAGACAATGCCCCCCAAAATGTATACTCCTTTTAAGAAAAGAAAAAACAATTACATTTGCAATAGTCAAGTTGCCTTTAACTTCCTCAGTTACAAGAAGTGCCCAAATGTGACTTGTAGTCAGCTTTTGTTATTTATTGGTACATGTTGAGTACTACAATTTTATTTATTTATTATTATTATTATTACTTTTTGTAGAGACAGAGTCTCACTTTATCCCCCTTGGTAGAGTGCAGTGGCATCACACAGCTCACATCAACCGCCAACTCCTGGGATTAGGCGATTCTCTTGCCTCAGACTCCTGAGTAGCTGGGACTATAGGCGCCTGCCACAATGCCCAGCTATTTTTGTTGCAGATTGGACAGGGCCAGGTTTGAACCTACCACTTTCGGTATATGGGGCCAGCGCCCTACCCACTGAGCCACAGGCACCACTGTGTTTATTTATTTGAGACAGAGTCTCACCCTCAGTTAGAGTGCTGTGGCGTCACAGCTCACAGCAACCTCTAACTCTCTTGGGCTTAAGCAATTCTCTTGCCTCAGCCCCCCAAGTAGCTGGGACTACAGGCAACAGCCACAATGCCCAGCTGTTTTTTGGTTGTAGTTGTCATTGTTGTTTTGGCAGGCCCTGAGCCTGGTTCAAACCCACCAGTTCTGGTGTATGTGGCTGGCACCCTAGCCACTGAGCTACAAGTGCCAAGCCTATTTTATTTTATTTTATTTTTGAGACAGTCTCTGTCACCCTGGGTAGAGTGCCATGGTGTCATCACATCTCACAGCAACCTCAAACTCTTGGGCTCAACTGATTCTCCTGCCTCAGCCTCCCTAATAACTGAGACTGCAGTTGCCCACTACCACACCTGGCTAGTTTATCTATTTTTAGTAGAGATGGGGTCTCCCTCTTGTTCAAGCTGGTGCTGAACTGAGTTCAATCTACTCGCCTTGGTTTCCTAGAGTTCTAGGATTACAGGTGTGAGCCACCTCGCCCACCCAGCCTGAGCGTTACAGTTCTAACACAGTCTTTCCTTTCTTACAACGTGTATACAGGTTTTGGGGGGCAATTTCTGTATATGTTGAAATCCCCACCCTCAAGGGAGATGAGGCTTTGGGAGGTGATTGGAGACTAGGGGAAAGAGCCTTCATTTTTTTTTTTTTTAAGAGACAGAGTTTTACTTTATTACCCTTGGTAGAGTGCTGTGCCATCACAGCTCACAGCAACCTTCATCTCCTGGGCTTAGGTGATTCTCCTGCCTCTGCCTCCTAAGTAGCTGGGACTACAGGCACCCACCACAACGCCCAGCTAATTTTATTGCAGTTTGGCCGGGGTCGGGTTCAAACCTGCCACCCTCAGTATATGTGGCTGGTGTCCTATGCACTGAGCCACAGGCTCAGAAGAGAGCCTTCATGAATGGAATCAGTGCCTTGTAAAAAAGGCTAAGAAAGACCCCTTACCCCTAGGGCTGTGTGAGGTTAGAAGGAGATAAAGGCTTTCCACTAGAGAAAAAGGCTCTCACCAGACCACAAATCTGCTAGCACCTTGATCTTGAAATCCCCAGCCCCCAGGACAGTGAGAAGTAAAATGCTGTCATGAGCAAGCAACTCAGTCTGGCGTTTTGTTAAGCAGCCTAAACAGACTAAGTGTTGTATATATATATACTTTTGTGTGTGTGTGTGTCTTGGTCACCCTGGGTAGAGTGCCGTGGCATCATACATAGCTCACGGCAGCCTCAAACTCTCGGGTTCAAGCAATCCTTTGCCTCAGCCTTCCCAAGTAGCTGGGACTACAGGGGCCGCCACATTGTCCAGCTATTTTAACCCTAACCCTAAGCCTTACCGTGAACTCAGGCAATCCACTCGCCTCAGCCTCCCAACTACTGGGATTACAGGCATGAACCACCTCCCCCGGCCAGTGTTGTGTATTTTAAACTTTGCGCAGTCACGTACTTGGCCTTTTCAGATATAAGTTACGATCTTTGTGAGACTTTAACCATGTGTATCTACCTGCCAGGTCCATCTGCACAGTATGAGTGCACTCTCTCCTTTGTAAAGCCTCTGTAAACAAATCTTTAGGGACAGTTCAGTTCTTTGCACCACGCCCAGCCCTGGAGGCTTTGAAGGTGAGGGTGTGGCTCTGCTGGGCTTGCCTCCTGCCGGGACTCGGTGCCCCGCACCCCCAGCAAACCACCTCCAGCACAAAGCAAACAGAGGGTGCCATCAAGCCTTTTTCTGACTTCTACTCTATGTTAGCATCTGAAGTACAAAAACTAGCACAATGCCGTGGACATTGATTGCATTATTCTAAGAAAAGCTGTTTTCATGTGCACAGCTCACAAAAGACTCCTAAAATACTCACTTAATAACTTTGCCTCTTTTCTTCCCTTAGGATGCAAAATACTGTTTGGAAAGGTAAGTTTTCACTTGGAATAACTGAGTCAGAAGCAGATTCCAACATGTCCAGAACATAAGACCGTAAGACCCTAGGGTTGGGTTGGGCGGTTGTGTTCACTGTAGAATGTAATGAATGGATGAAGGACCTCCAGTCTGTGCAGGTGACTGATGTTGCCCTTTCCTTCTAGGAGTGAGTCCCTACTGGTCCAGTGCTTACAGCCTGCTCATCTCACAGACCTGAGTTTATGCCAACCACCAGGAATGAGCAAAATACCAAGAGCGCTCCACAGTGAGTTGATACATGTTCACGATTGCCAGGCCACTGCAGCTTTGTATTTGAGAATCAAGTTGGCCATCTCACCCTAACTAAAAAAAAACTCCAGTAGTTTAAAAATTTAAAAAGAGTGGAGCACTTAGTATGCTATATACATTAGAAAACTATCAATAAAATAACTATATCATCTTAGGTTGAAAGCTTTTCTCTTACAAAAAAAACAAATTTATCCAGTTTCCCAGCCCTAAAATGTAATTGCAGGCAGATTCCACTAAAAAATTTAAAACTCCTGGAGCAAAAATTCATATGTATAATAAAGGATTTATTGCTCCTGTCCTTGTGGTTTCACCTTTTCCAGAATGTTCTATCAATGGCATCGTGCAGTATGTGATCTTTGGAGACTGGCTTTTTTTTTATTATTAGTTTCAGATTATTATGAGGGTACAATTAGGTTACAATGTTTGCATCTGTTAGGTAGAGTCCTTGTAGTTGTGCCCCTCACCCAGGAGGTGAGCCATGTACCCTCACACTATGCCCATTAGATGGGAGTTTACCTCCCCCCCCCCAAGGCTGGCTTCTTTAACTTAGCATAATGCAACTGAGTGAGTTACAGTCAAGTCCTAAGATGTGTCAGAAGTTTGTTCCTTTTGATTGTTGCTGGGATTCCATTGTATAAATGCACCATAATTTATTTATCATTTTAAAATTAGATGGATATGGATTGTTTCCTGGTTTGAGCTGTAAATAATAGTGTATAGATATGTGCATGAACTTGGTTTTGTACTTTTTGGCTGACAAGGAATGGGATTATCCAACTGGTTTTCAAACTACTTGTGCCATTTTACAGTCCTACCAGTGGGTGGCGCCTGTGGCTCAAAAGGGTAGGGCTGCGGTTCCATATGCCGGAGGTGGCAGGTTCAAATCCACCACCAGCCAAAAATGGCAATATATATATATATATACACACACACACACACATATATATATAATTCCACCAGTAAGGTCCAGTGTGGGAGACTCAGTTACTCAACATGCCCACCCACATTTGGTACTATCACTACATTTTATTAGATCCACCCTAATAGTCATGTTAGTGGTATCATTTTAATTTGCACTTCTGGAATGACCAATTACATTTACCATATTATCATGTGTAAGTTTGCCCTCTGAATTTCTACTTTGGTGAAGTACATTTATAAACCTTTTCCTCATTTTGTTTTTGGGGGAGTGGACAGTATCACTCTGTCACCCTGGCTACAGCGCTGTGGCATCACAGCTCACAGCAACCTCAAACTCCTGGGCTCTAGCAGTCCTCCTGTCTCAGCCTCTCAAGTAGCTGGGAATGCAGGTGTCTGCCACCATGCCCAGCTAGTTTTTCTATTGTTAGTAGAAACTGGGTCTCCCTCTTGCTCAGGCTGGTCTTGAACTCCTGAGCTCAAGGACTCCTCCTGCCTCAGCCTCCCAGAGTGCTGGGATTATAGGTGTAAGCCACCTTGCCTGGCCCATCTCATAAAATATGCATATTTCTATACTGAAAACTACCAAACACTGATGAGGGAACTCAAAGACCTAAATAAATGGAGATATATTGTCAGGATGTCAGTTCTCCCAGACTGATGTTTAGATTTAGCATGATACCAGTAAAAATCCCCTCAGCCTGCCCAGGCATGGTACTCATGCCTGTAATCCTGGCACTTTGGTTTTATTTTTTTTGGAGACAGAGTCTGTCTTTGTTGCCCTTGGTAGAGAGCTCTGGCATCATAACTCACAGCAACCTCAAATTCTTGGGCACAGGCAATTCTCTTGCCTCAGCCTCGAGAGTAGCTGGTACTATAGGCACCTGCCACGGTGCCAGGCTATTTTTAGAGATGGAATCTCACTCTTGTTCAGGCTGGTCTGGAACCTGTGAGCTCAGGCAATCGACCCCACTTGGCCTCCGAGAGTGCTAGGATTACAGGAATGAGCCACCATGACAGGCCCTAATCCTGCCACTTTGGGAGTCCGAGGCAAAAGGATCCCTTAAAACCAGGAGTTTGAGACCAGCCTGGGCAACAGTGAGACTCCCTGTCTCTACAAAAAAAAAAAA